TTTGCCACTTTGCCAAACTAACCATTCAGTCTGAACATTTTCCATGCTGGGTGGCCTATGTTCCCTCTGAGCTGCAGGAGAGTGGTTGCACAGCTGCCTAGTAAGCCCCATACAGGGCTCAGGACCATCCAGCCTCTTCCCAAATACACAACAGAAATATTTGAGCATTTCTGTCTTTTGTGCATCATTACTGACAATTTTATCACACCTATCCAGTCATGGATCTATAGCACTATTAACATTTCATTTGTTCCCAGTTATTTAAAAAAAAATTCTCCTCCTTGCTGTCCCTCACCCTAGGGACCATGTAGTTTTGATGGATATCCTTAGCTCCTCTTATAAATCATGTGGTTCTAGAATTGTTAACATCCGGTCTATCAACTTCCTCTTTTTTACCTATGTGTTAAAAACAGTTAAACAAAGTATGTGTGTTCAACAGATAAATATCAATATATTTAGCATTAATACTGATGCTTGTTAAACTATATTTATAGAGAGTTTAACTAGTAGTAAGAATTCATTTATACAAGAACTTACCATCTGGTGCATATTTTGAAGATATTCCCAGGATAATTGCCAGTGCAACAAAAAATGAAAAGCTAGAAATGGCAAAGCAAATGAGAGTGTTTTTGTGTCTTTTCTTTCTACTGGCTTCTGCTTGACGGCACTGTTCCTCTGGTGAGGGGGCAAATGCTGCATGGGCTTCTTGTCCTGCAGATGTAAATTTGGCTGAAGTTTGGCTCTTTGGACGTGGTGGTGGACGAAGAGGAACAATTTTCCCTGGAACATAGCCAGAAGATCGATGACTGCTCCCATTCTGAGGCTGATGGAAAACAGGGGAACTCCCCCTGGGATCAATGGCTTGCATGTTATAAGGTCACTAAAGCCGGGGGTGGGAAGGGAAGAAGAGAGAAAGAATGAATATATGAACAATCAGATAGTTTAGGCAATGTGTGTTTCATGATTAGATGCATCTCTCTCTACTATCATTATTTATACTGTATCGATAGTATAATAGCTAGAATTTATTTGCCCTAACAGTTCAAAAAATTAGTGCATAAATGAAGTAAAACTTTATTAACAAAAATTGCTACAAAGAATAGTGGGATATAATACACCACTGACAATTTCACAACATTTAAATACAGTAATTGTTGATGGTAAAGTATGCAAACACCACTAATTTTTTGAATTACTTTTTTGTGTGCAATTTTGTGATTAAAAGATAACGGAGTGTGCAATTTTGTGATTAAAAGATAACTGGTTAAACAGTAAGCCAGCTATGTCAGCATAAACTCCACAATAGTTATGCTGAGAATGCCTAAATATATTTCTACACTATGCAGAAACTGAATAAACTCTTCATTGTTTCCCTTCAATAAGTGAAACAAGACTTAAAAACAACCACCAAGAAATTCCCTTCACTTCATGGTTTAAACATTAAAAAAGCCCCTTTTCATTTAACACGTGCATTCAGACATGCCACATTTACACCCATTCCACCTTCCTCTGATGCAATTGTGATAATATGTATAATCAATGTAAGGACAGAGATTCTGAATGCCCTAATTTTTACTTACAGCATGACTTTGTTGTTAGGAAAGGTGTGTCTGGAATGGTTTTACAAGCAGATGACCTGCATCCTGTTAAGCAGGTCTGGTGATGCATCTCTTTGCCAAGCTGCGTGGGTTGTGAGACAAAGTTTGGGAGTTGTATGACCTCCCCAGACCTTTTCACTTATCACCCAACACAGAACAGGTTTTTTGTTGCAGTTGCTAGCAACCCTCTCTGTGAGGGAGCAAGTAACAAAGACCCATTAAAAATATGATTTCCAAACTCACATCATTCTTGCCAGGAGTTCAGACCTGACATCTTAATTCATGGTTTGCTATACAAGAGACATAATTTGCACTATATTTCAATGTTTTGTCTAATATTTATTGCAAGCAAAACTCTGAAAATCAGGATGTATCCCATGAAAATTTCTAGTAGTGGGATATTTGAGAAAGCTGAGTGAATTGAATATAAGTGAAGCTTTATCTACTAACGACTGTTTAGTAACACACATTAAATAACAGATGAAGGATAGAAATAAGAACCTACAAACAAATGAGACAAAGACTCTTTATTCTTCTCCACTAACAAAGATGTCCTAAACTATGTATTCTAAAATGTCAGGCACACTGAGGAAGAGAAATAACAATGGTAATATTATTCTGAGAAATAGCTGAAAACTTGGTCTCTTATGCTGCAAAGCTGTTTCAGGGTGAGAAAGACCCTTGTTACTGAACAGACTGAATTGCTATTTTATAGGAGACAATGTATTTCCAGATGTACACATAATGAAAGCTAAAAGCATTGAAACATTAGCTAGAGAAGGAACAGCGGAGGGCAGAGCACAAATCCTCTAGAGACTGTCCTAGTGATCCTTGCACCTGCTCCTTATGGCAAATGGGCTTTTCAACATTCCTCCCTTTATTTTTTCATAGCTGTTTCCCCAAACTCATTTACCTAATCCCCATGCCCAGATTTACTGTCTACTGTTTCATGAGCATTTGAAGAATGGCTCTATTTTACCATATGTGCATTTTAAACTTAACTACTAGAAGACTTCTAAGTAAAATCTGAATCAATATTTTATTAAGAAAAATCCACATGTAATCCTCAAGTCAAAATACTTTGGAGCCTCAGTCATCTTTTCAAAAAGCAGCACTTACTGCAAATTGGACTTAACAGTAGATATCCTCTAGTTAGTACAATACTTCTGACTAAACAGATGGGTAACATTTTTAGTGCAGACTCATATGAAACTGGTCTGACAATTTTCAGATATAGGAATAACACTTAACTCTGAAGATGAAATGCCTGAATTTATAACACTCAAAAACAAAATGTTTCAAATAATGCAGAAAAAAATATGTAAGTGTTGGAAAATAATTCATTTCAGAAGTTTAAAAAAATTCTGGAGGAAAGCAATGCTGAAATTCAAGTATATTCAGAAAGCTAATTTTAATGCTTACTTGAAAATATCTTTGTTATTTGTAAAAAGTTTCAACATTTTTCAATTAAAGACAAGTGGTTATGTTCTTTCAGGCAGAAGTGCCAACTTCCCTTCTAGCCAGCGGATGTTCAACCCCATCCTCTGCCCCCACTCTACTCCTTCTCCCAAGTCCTCACATCACCTCTTCCCACTCCTGTGCCACCCCCATTCCAGCCCTTCTTTCGAGCCCCCACATGACCCCAATCATCACAGAACAGCTATTTCCTGGCAAGCAGAAGGTCCTGGGAGGGAGGGGGAGAAGTGGGTCAGTGAGGCCACTGGTGGGCAAGAGGTGCTGGAGGAAAGGAGGGCAGAGTAGGAGCTTTGTTACCAGTGGGTTCTGAATGCTTACTAATTTTTCCCCGCGAGTGCTCCAGCTCCACAGCACCTATGGAGTTGGTGTCGATGCTTCCAGAGCCATCTGGGAACAAGATGCCTGCAGAACCAGGCATCCCATCCCCCAAAATTCAATTTGAAACACTACAATGTATGAGGTCTTGTACAATCAACGAGTTTACAGTTCATCCCTGCTCGTTCCTCTTTGCCATAGAAAAGTTATTTAAACATTGTGCATTTCCCTTTTCATTTTTTTTAAATGCAGTGACAAATGGTTTTTCAATTCTAATAATTTTATATCAACGAATTTATGCTACTTTTGGTACTAAAGTGAGCTATCACATTTGAAATTGTTGGCTTTATTATTCATTTATGTTTTATGAATTATTTTAAAACAGTAGCGAGGTTAAAATGTGTTTAATTATGTAATCGTGTAACCACTGAAAAATTATGTGGTTACACACGGACAGTGGGGGCAGGCATCTACATCACAATTGAACAGCCCAACAGCACAATCCTGGTAAGCCCGAGTAATCTGGCATGGACCAGCCTCAGGTGTTTAATTGCAGCATAGACATACCAATAAATACTATGGCCCGGTGCACAATATAGCTGTACATTTGCATATTTAGTGTAAGACACAGCCCAAGTCTGTCTATCTGCAAAATATTAAGTAGACATTTTCCTGCCAGCTTCTGTTCTGCATTTTTTGATTCACCTACCATTTTTTGATTCACACTCCACATCAAACATGTTTCACCCTTAATGAGGATTCACTGGTCTCCCTTCAGCAGACCCTGTATCACCACAATTACAATGGAAGAATGCAAAACAAAAGAGGGGTCCTTTGCAATTCATAGCAGCAATGACAACAGCCAGAGCTATAAACACAGGAGTCAGGGAAAGCCAGGAAGGGTTTTATCTCAGCATTCTGAACAACACAGAAGGAGGAGCTTTGTATAAAGAGTTTCATGCTGTAGCCATCTACTCTTGATGGTGCAGCTCTTACTAGTACTAGAGTCCTCTGCTACAATTCCAATTAGTTTTATTCACTGGTTATATTTATTTTTTGTGGTTAATTTTTGGAATTATTTCAGTACAAGTGAAAGTTATCAAATAATTGTGGTCAATTATAACAGCTACATTAAAGTTCAGAATTCACTATAAATCAGCCATGTAATTTAGGGGGTCCTGTGCTACACTGTACCTTGCATGGAGAAATTCTCAAAATTATACTCCTTTCCCCCCACAAAAGAGAGCTTAACATTTTAGGACCTATATTCACTGCTGCATTAAGCACATGCCTAAATACCACTCAAGGAATCAATAAGTATATGCTTAATGGTCATTACTTTTAAACATTT